CAAGAGTTCTCTGGAGTTAAATCTGGCTCCAGAAGCTGCTGGGATGAGTCCCCTGGTCTCCCCCCTGCAACCCCTCACATGCTGGTGCCTCTAATGAGGCTGCCCCAGAGTTTGACTCAGGGGAGGGTGCCTCCTGCAAAACCCTGCTCCTCAGTGTCCAGGGGTTAGGTGAGAATCCTCCCTCCAAGGGCCTGTCGGGGGTGCCAAGTTTGATGCTAAAAATTCAGTCACCTGGACTCAAAGCCAGTTCACAAATAATGAGAGCAGGGTTTTGGAGAAAAGGAAGTACAGGTTTATTGATTTTGCAGGCAAAATGAGGAGGACAAAACCTATCTCAAAGCTACGTTCCTCCTCTCAAGAGGGGAGGGATGGATTTTGAAGGGAAGTCCAGGAGTTTGGGCTTCTAGATGTATGTACTAAGAGGCATGACTTTGGGCTAGATGGTTGCCTTGGGTCTTTTACTTCCCAATGTACTGGGGTTAGTCTCCAGAGCGATATGTCTTATTCTAACAAATGTTCCTTCACTACCATGGTCAACAAGATAAGGAGAGGAGTGTGATGACCTTGTCTAGAACTGAAAAGATATTCTTGAATTCCTTCATTGGGGTGGGGGGACAGTTAGAAAGAAAAGAAAAAAAAAACTCTGTTTGAAACTTTTGTTAAAAGGAAATGTTTAGGGCTGACAGAGTGACTCAAGTGATGGAGCACCTGCCTAGCAAGTGTGAGACCCTGAGTTCAAACCCCAGTACCACGAAAAAATAAAAAGAGAGAGAGAGAGAGAGAGAGAGAGAGAGAGAGAGAGAGAGAGAGAGAGAAGAAGTTTGCAAAATTGAAAGCAGACGGGCTAATAAGGTGGATTCATTATTGGGCTAACACTTCAGTTGTGAGCATATTCAGGTGTCTGTTCCCGTTGGACTGCCACATGGCCTCTACATTAGCAAGAAGTCAACTGCTGCATTAAACCATTGAGATTTTGGCAACTTTTATGGCAACTGGTGCCAACATAACCAATTTCATGCAAAAATATCTTTGTTACTAGAAGGGCCTTGGGAAGGGGAATGTGTGAAACTGCTCCAGGGACAAATGCCAGAGGTCCATAGGTAGGAGCATAGACTGTGGGGGCCAGGGCTACTTGGATGTAGCATTAATCTGACCTTGGACACATTACTTACTCCCTGTAGTTCACTTTCTTCCTGGATGAAAAGGGGATGACAAATAACCCTACATTGAGGGCTTCCTATAAATTAATGTTAGAAAGCACTTAGCACAGGGCCTGGTACCCAGTTAAGGGTGCATTTACACATCTCGTTTTCCAGAGATTGTCCTTGACACAAAGTCTTCAGAATTGTTTCCTCTTCTAACCTTCTGCTCTGATTGTTTGTTTGTTGTTTCAGTTCTGGGGATTGAATGCAAGGCAGTGAGCATACTAGACAAATGCTTTACCACTAGGGCTACACTCCCAGACCTTCTTCTGGTGTTTGCAATAGCCTGTGCCAGTGAGACGACGTTAGTACTTTGGATATCCTTTTTTTTTTTGTAATATGACTTTGTCCCTGTACATAGAAGTTATTTGAGCTTGCTCCACTCTGGGGTGCTTTGGGATTTGGGATATGTTAGCTTTAGGTGGATCATTAACTTCAGAGGAATGGTCATCTCTGGACCCTGGGTGGTTTTCATCTGCACAGAGGAGAGGAGATTGCTTAATCCACTGTAGGAAAATTTAAGTGCATTTGTTCATCTATTTGAGCCACTTTTTGAGCCCTGTACCAGGCACTATTTTCCAGCTCAGAATTAAAATATTGAATAACAGAATAATGGTGCCTCTCCCCAAAGAGCCTATTTCCTTTCAAGGGCATGAATAAGTGAAGGAAGAGTTGGGGCAGTTAGAAATGAGTCACTTTGGGTAACAAAGCAACAGGCAGCTGGCTTTGCCAATGGCAGAGTAACTCAGCCAATGGCAGAGTTACGGCAATGTAAGCGCTGGGGAAAGAGGTGAGGCAAGATCCCAATGAGAAGGTGGTTCAGAGAAGTGGGCTTGGCAAAGACAGAGTCTCATTCTCTCCCTCTCTCTCTCTCCCCCCCTACACACAGAGTTTCCTTTTAAAGATACTTATACTTTGTACAATTTGATATGCCATGAAATGAGAGAGAAAAAATAAGACAGAGGCTCCAATAAATATAGCAGGTATATTACCACAAACTTATTGTCTTATAAAATGCCAAAGGGTATGCACATATGAATAATAAAAGAAAAATGAAAAAAAAATAAAATAAAATAAAAAAAATAAAAAAAATGCCAAAGGTGAAATCAGCAATCAACCTCACAAGGTAAAATCAAGATGCCAGTAGAGCTATGCTCCTTTCCGGAGACTTTATAGGAGAATCTCTTGTAAGTTTTTTTTTTTTCTTGGTGACACCAGGATTTGAACTCAAGGCCCCACACTTGCTAGGCAGGCACTCTACCACTTGAGCCACTCCATCAGCCAAGAGAATCTCTTTTCTTGCCTTTTCCAGCTTTAGAGATGTCCACATTTATTGGCTTGTGGCCCCAACCTCTTAATGAAACTCCCTGTATAGCCATCATAAACAAACAAAAATGCATTTTTTTTAATGAAGGAAAGAAGGTAAAACAAGTCCTGTTCAGGGGTTGATACCAGTGGGAGGGCGAAGAGCATAAGAAAAGGGTGTAGGAGGGTAAATATAGTGGAAGTACTATGCATTCATGTATGAAAATGGACCAATAAGACCAGTCGAAACTGTTCTGAAAAGAGGAGGAGGAGGGATAAAGGGGAAAGATAGAGGGGGTGAATCTAATCAAGATATATTGCAAACACTTTTATAAATGTCACAATGTATCCCCAGCACAACTATATATAACATGTTAATAAATGAACTTTAAAAATCTAAAAACAAAACAAACCCAAAAAACAAAGTCAGCAATGGCCAAGTGTGGTGATCATGCCTGTAATCTCAGAACGGGAGTTCTGAGACCGGGATTCAAAATTTAAGGCCAGCCTGGGCTACATAGTGACACTTTGTTTCAAAAACAAACAAGGAAAAGAAAATAAGTCAACCATAGCAACAACAAGTCTATAAAACAACAAAACCAAAATTTTGGCCTTTGTAAAGATTAATAGATAAAACTCTAGCAACACTAATGGAAGAAAAGGAGAAAACATAAATTACCAAAATCAATAATGAAGACAGATTACAGTAAGGATTCTCCACACATTACAAATGTCAAAAGTGGAGGCTGGTGGAGTGTCTCAAGCAGTGAGAGTGCCTGCCTAGCAAGCATGAGGACCTGAGTTCAAATATCAGTGCCACCAAAAAAAAAGAAAAAAAACATGTCCAAAAGAGCCAGGAATGGTGGCATGATTCACAAAAGACATAATTTAAATAGAGAATCCAAAAGACACTATTAGAGATACCAAGATAATTTAGCAAGGTCACTGGGTTCAACAAACATGAACAGTGTTTTTTTAGACACTAGCAATGAATAGAAGAAGAAATTAAAATTATGTTCCCTGTGGCACTGTCCGTAAGAGTGCAAATTGGAAATAGAGTCACCAGGAGGAAACAAGAGAATAAACAAACACACACCTGACAGAATGAATCTCACAGAGCTGAGCTTGAATAAAATAAGCAATGCACAATGTTGAATTGCTGTGTGACTCCATCTCTAAGGAGTTCAGACATCTGCAGAATTAGCCTCTGTTTTCAGAAGTCAAGATAAGGGACCCCCTGGTAGGGAGATGGGAGGTGACTGGCAGAGGCCAAAGGGTACTGTCCCGACTCTGACTCTGTCATGTTCTGCCTCTCGATATGGGGGTTGGTGATAATTAATCACCCTGTACCCACAGGATGTGTGAAGTTTTATGCATACTTACCATACTTTAATTTTAAAAATCTTTTTTGTTAATGAATTTATGTATGTATTTATTTATTTGGTGGGACTGGGGTTTGAATTCAGGGCTTCCTACTTGCAAAGCAAGTGCTCTACCACCTGAACTACACCTCCAGCCCATTTTGCTCTTGTTATTTTGGAGATGGGAGGGATCTCATGAACTATTTGCCTGGGCTGGTCTAGAACTGTGATCCTCCTGATCTCAATCTTCCAAGTAGGATTACAGATGTGAGTGGCCATTGGCTCCTGGCATTTTATATATATATATATATATATATATATATATATATATATATATACACACACACACACACACATATACTATATATATATATACACACATATACTATATATATATGTATATATATATATACATATACTATATATATATGTATATATATATATATATATATATATATATATACATATATATATATACTGAGGTCTCACACTTGATGGACAGGTGCTTGAGCCATACCCACGGCCCTTTTGTGGCTTAGTTATTTTCCAGGTAAGGTCAGGCAGTTTTGCCTAGGCTGGCCTCAGTGAGCCTCAATTAGGTAGGGGATCCTCCTACCTCCACCTCCCATGAAGGTGGGATGAGGGGTGCACACTGCCACACTGGACTTGTTTTGTTGAGATGGGTGGTGGTTGGATCTTGCTTCTTTATCCAGGTTGGCCCAGAACTGTGATCCTCCCCATCTCTGATCTCCACCTCCCCAGTTTAAAAAAAACAAAACCCAAAAAACTTAACTTTGTATTTCAACTTAGACGACTTTCCCCAGAGAGAGGTCCAGATGCCCTCTGAGTCTCCTCACCTCCCTGCAGCGCCTTTGTAGGGGGGCGGGGAGGGAGGTCCGGCAGGACCTGGACATGATCAAGGGAGACACTTTAGGGGGATATCTGAGAATCCACCCCCCAACCCCCAATCATGTTGGAAGTGCTGCGCAGATGCGTGCGTGTGCAGCCTTGGGGAGGAGTCATTGTTTCTGGAACATTTGGGAGCTTCCTGGTTAGATAAGGGGCGGGCTGGCTGTCACCAGCTGACCCAGGGGAGGGATGGAAGGTGTGGCGATGGTGATCAGCCCGGTAAGCTAACTTTCCCGAGTAGGCTGATCCACCCGCTCCTGGCCGAGCAAAGTGGCCCAGGCTCTGGGAGCCGGACCAGGACGCGTCCGAAGTAGAGAATGAGGCTCGGCCTCCTCGCCCTGCTGTGCGCAGGGGCCCTGGGTGAGTGAAGAGTCCGAGTCCGGGGAGCCGGGCAGGGGCGGCCTCTGGTGCTCCAGGAAGGGGACCAGTGCCCGGGGTCAGCCACAGCAGGGCCCAGTGACCAGACAGTTCATGGGCACAAGGGGAAAATAATCACTTCTGCCACTCTCTGCTGTGTGACTCTGGCCTCTCCCTTGACCTTGCTGAGCTGATTTCACACAGTAACAATTGTTTTTAAGCAAAGAGCAACACAGTTAAAGTGAAAATGAGAAAATATGTCTAGAGGCAGAGTTATCACTAGTAAAAATCTCTGCAGGGAGCCCCTTCCTGGGTTGGGAGGATGGGTTCCTTCCTCCAGTGCTCTTGGCTGGACTCACACACATGAAGGGCTGGGTCTGTCCAGCCCTGGTGCTGTGAGGTCTGGGGTTGTCATAAGCAATGTCTGGGTTGGTGCCTTACATGGGGGGGAAGGGAAGCCAGGGCCCTGGTCAGAGGAGAGAATGGCAAGAACAAGGATGTGTGGGCCTCCCTGGCTCTGTTGCCTCCCTTCCTCCCTCCAGGGCTGCACAGGTTGCTCTTCTGCCTGGAGCAGGCCAGGAAGGTGGAGCACAGCTAGTCCAATTACAGTGGCAAGAATCCCCAGTGCAGCCTGCTGGTGGCTTTCCCAAATTCTCCCCAACAGGGCCTATGCTATTTGTCCTTCCTCTGTTTCCTCTCCTGGCAATGTCAGATGCTGACCAAAAGTTCATTCTCCCGCTGGCTCTGTGTTTACCAACCAAAGGCAAGATCCAACCCTGGACCCCTTCCCCTGGCTGGAGTCTGGGCTGTGCTTTCCTGAAAGCTCAGTGTTCCAGCTCATCAAGACCTCTGCTGGTGGCGAATGATAGGAAAGCTAGGCACAGTGGTTTGCACCTATAATCCCAGCAATTTGGGAGGTGAAGATAGGAAGGATCAAGGTTCAAGGCCAACCTGGGCAGAAAATTAGGAAGACCCACATCTCAATCAGGAAGCCAAGTGTGGCAGCCCACACCTGTGGTCCCAGCTACAGGAAGTCATTGGCAGGAAGATCGAGGTCCAAGCTGTCCAGGCAAAATGCATGAGACTCTATCTGAAAAACAGCTAAAGCTAAACTTTCCATCTTCCCTGAGTGCTGGGATTACAGGCATGAACCACCATGCCTGGCTCCTTTATTTCCTTTTTTGTGGTGAGGTTTGCTTAATATAAATGAACCACTTAAAGTGAACAACTCAGTGACGTGGTGCCTTCTCAATGTTGTACATCAGCAACCTCTGTCTAGGTCCCAAACATTTCATTGCCCCAAAATCTCACCCACTGAGCAAACCAGGGCCCATTCCCAACTCTTGCGGCAGGAGGAAACCACATATGCCTTCTGTGTCTACAGGTTTACGTCATGGAGAGATTTCTCATAAATTGGATCATGAAATGGGTGGCCTTATGTGTTCGGCTTTTTTCACTTAATGTTTTTGAGGTTCATTGAAATTGTTGCAGGTATCAGTACTTTATTTATTTATCTATGGGACTGGGGTTTGAACTCAGGGCTTTGCACTTGCAAAGCAGGCACTCCACCGCCTGAGCCACACCTCCAGTCTATTTTGCTCTGGTTATTTTGAAGATGGAATCTTGAGAACTGTTTGCCTGGGCTGGCCTCAAAGCATGATCCTTCTGATCTCAGCCTCCCAAGTAGCTAGGATTACAGGTATGGGCTACCAGTGCCTGTCTAGTACTTTATTCCTTTTATGGAGAATAATATCCCACTGTATGGGTCTATCACATTTTGTGTATCCAGTCATCCATGCTGCACATTGTGGTGTTTACCTTTTTTAGTTTTTTTTGTGGGACCACATTTGAACTCAGGGCCTACACCTTGAGCCACTCCACCAGCCCTTTTTTGTGATTTTTTTTTTTTTTTTGAGATAGGGTCTCGTGGAACTATTTGCCTGGGCTGGCTTCAAATGGCAATCCTCCTGATCTCTGCCTCCTGAGTAGTGTGGATTACAGGAGTGTGTCACCTGTGCCTGACTAGGGTTTGCCTTTTAGCTATTGTGAGGAGCGTTGCTTTGAACATCGGTGTGTGTATTTATTTGAGCCCTTGCTTTTAATACTTTTTGATATATGCCTAAGAGTGGAATTGCTGTGTGATAAGGATAGTTCTATGTTTAACTTTTGGGAGATGCTTCAAGGAATTTTTTTTTTGGTGGTATTAAGGTTTGAACTCAGGGCCTCATAGTTCCTAGGCAGGTTCTGTACCACTTGATGCATACCCCCAGCCCTTTTTGCTTTAGTTATTGAATAATGGTCTTATATTTTTGCTGAGGCTGGCCTTGGCTATGATCCTCCTATTTATGCTTCCCGCATAGCTGGGTGACAGGTGTGCACCACCATACCTGGCTTTTTGGTTGAGATGAGGTCTCACTAACTTTTTTGCCCAGGCTGGATTGGAACTGCAATCCTGATTTCTGTCTCTTGAATAGCTGGGATTGCAGGTGTGAGCCATAGCTCCCAGCTTACTTTTGGCTTTTTTATCCAAGGAGTAGGACAGAGTCAGAGAAATGGACCCTGAGAGTTCATGTTAGTCTGACAGTCAATCCAACTTGTGTGCACCCCATTGAGTCAGCCCTGTATATTGTCTTTGACCTTGTCTGCAAGCAGAGAAAGGTTACTGCTGTGAGAATCTCACACCTCTGCCTTCTCTCCTTTAGGACCATGTCTGGCTGTTCCTGAGAAGACTGTAAGATGGTGTGCCGTGTCAGATCATGAGGCCAAGAAGTGCTCCAGTTTCCGTGACAACATGAAAACAGTCCTTCCTGCAGATGGTCCCCTTGTCACCTGTGTGAAGAAAACGTCTTACCCTGAGTGCATCAAAGCCATCTCAGTAAGTCACTGCGGCCCAAAAGAGTGAGGAAGAAAGTCTGTATTTTCTTGTTCTTTTTCTGCACTTCCCATTGCAAGGAAAAACACAGCTGTCAACATTTAGTGATCGTGAAAATCAGAATCAAAATTAAACAACTACTAGAGGATTCCATCTCAGCAAGATATATCTGGTAAAGCAAAGCCAGTATTAAGTTGAAGATCACCTATACGGTGTTGCTAGTGGCTCACTCCTGTAATCCCAGCTATTTGGGAGGTTGAGATTGGGAGAATCACGATTTGAGGCCAGCCCAAGCAAATAGTTCGTTCTCAAGACCCCAGCTTCAAAATAACCAGAGCAAAATGGACTGGAAGTGTGGCTCAAGCTAGAGCACCTGCTTTGCAAGCACAAAGCCCTGAGTTCAAACCCTAGTCCCACACACCAAAAAAACTCAGAAATAAACAAGACACTCCAGTGTTGCTATTATTACTTCACAATGTTTTTTTGGAATTTCCTGGCATTGCAATAAGATATAAAATGCATTTTAAGGCAGAAAAAACCAAAAGTATCAATGTTTTCATGTCATGCCTTGGAAGTACAGTGGGATTAAGAGAAAGGCTGCTATAATTATTTATTGATGAATACTTTAGTTTGGTCAAAGATAAAATATTATATGTAACGTCATTTTCATATGTCAACAGCCAGTAATTGGGAGAAAAGAGCCTGAAATTGTGATCTGACTTACATTCAAAATAAGAAACTGATCAGGGGAAAAGTAACCTTTACACACTCTTAGTGGGAATATAAGTTAATGGTGCCTCTGTGGAAATCTGTGGAAGTTCCTAAAAACACTCAAAATAAACCTGCCTCATGCTCCTGATATACCACTTCCATTCCATATCTGGAGGAATGGAAGTCAGCATGCACGAGATGCTGCACACCCATGTTTGTAGCAGCAGTTGTCACAACAACCAAACTTTGGAATCAGCCTAGGTGCCCACTGTCCAATGAATGGTTAAGTAAAATGTGGTATATATACACAATGGAGTATTATTTAGCCATAAAGAAGAAAGAAATTATGTCATTTGCAGGAATTTGGATGGAACAGACATCATCATGTTAAGCAAAATAAGCCAGGCTCAGAAAAACAAATATCATGTTTTCTCTCCTATGCAGAATCTAGACCCATCAGTACAAACAGAAGAAAGGACACAAACCTAAAACGGGGACTAACTGTGGGGGGAGGGACCAGGGGAAGGGAGAGAGGGACAGAGACAGGTGAAGGAGGATGAATAGGATCACATTACATCATAGCCACATGTGAAAATGTCATAATGAAACCCGTCGTTTTGTGCAATTAAAAAATAATAAATCAAAAATATCAAACCTGCAAAATTTGTAAGTCTGCAGTAAGTGAGTATTTATTAATAAGTGAAAACATACACCATTTTCCCAGGTAGAAAGGCTATCATATTCTTGCATAGGCTCCCAAGGTTAATTAATAAATTTAGTATAGTTTTCATCACTATACAGTTTTTCAAAAGAATCAATAAATAATTATATAATGATTGGCTTAGGTGATGGAGCGCCTGCCTAGCTAGCATGAAGCCCTGAGTTCACACCTCAGCACCATCCAAAAAATCATAAAATCTTTAAGGATAAAGCACGTGGATAAGATTTGAATTCAAGGTTTTTGCTTGCAAAGCAGGTGCTCTGCTTCTTGAGCCATACTTCCCGTACATTTTGCTCTGGTTATTTTGGAGATGTGGTCTTGGGAACTGTTTGCCTAGGCTGGCCTCAAATCACAATCCTCCCAATCTCAGCCTCCCATGTATCTAGGATTACAGGTGAGACATTGATGCTTGGCTAGGATACCATATTTGGATAAGTGTTATAATGAACAGGTTATTGATACAGATGCTGAAGACTTGGGAGAGAACCAAACTGACACGATTCTCAGCTTTCTAACTCTCTCCATGATATGATATAGATATAAAACTTGATAAACAGTCATCATTTGGGCACTAGGGACTAGACTGAACAAGTTTGGGCAGGATGCATGTGGATCTAGTTAGACTTGTATGATAAGGCAAACTTCCCAAACAAATGACTTAGAAGGGATTCTTTAATTGTACAATTGGGTAGCCATTGAGAAAACAAAATTGAGTGAAATTCTTAACCTACTCACCAAAATAAACTCCAAGCTTGATTCAACGTGACTACAAGAAAGAGATGTAACTAGATAATTCACAAAAGTAGACACAGTTGGAAATATACAAAATTTTAAACTATGACAGTTTTAAAAACTCTAAGCATACGAAAAATAACTGCATCAGCTATAACAAAACAGCATATTATAGTGTCAAAACTATATAGAGATATTTAAATTTGTAAGAAATGCTTAAGAATAATGAACTGTAAACAAACTGCTCATGGAAAAGAAAATATAAGCAATCAGTAGTATAAATACCAAAGGAAAAATGTTCATCCTTTTTCATATTCAAAGAAATACACATAAAACCACTCTTGCAGTAGCGATTTATATCTAGCAATATAATGACACTTCTTAAATGATAACATTTTTTGCTGGTAGGTTTGCAGTGAAGTTGCCATGCGTGGCTATTGACATAACTCAGAAATTTCTGTTGGCATTATAAATCACTCTTTTCATTTCTGGAAAACAGTTTGGAAATATTCAGTAAGGGTATAAAGATGCACACAGATTTTATTTATGGTTCTCTAATTCGTATTTATGTGGATATTATATACGTGTATATATATATATATATATATATGTGGATTAGGATGGGTATGAAGTGTCCCCTCAAAGAGCTTATGTGTTGAAGGGCTGGTGCCCAGCTGATGGTAGTAAGAGGTGATTTGATCACAAGGCCGCTGATCTCATCAATGGGCTGATCCACTGAGGCGTTCCTTGCTGAACGGGCGTCTAGGAGGTGGGGCTCAGTTAGAGGAAGTGAGTCACTGGGGGCGTGTTTCGAAGGGTATATCTTGTGCCCTATCCTTTCCTCCCTTTCCATCCCCCTCTCTCCTTCCCTGCTGCCAGTAGGGGAACAACTGGGCCCCATCAAGCCCTCCCCACCATGCTGTTCTGCCTTACCACAGGTCCATAGCAATGGAGCAAGCCTAAGACCTTGAAGTCATTTTGAGTTGACTCCTGATACATGCCTCTAACAGTGTCCCAACACATACACACACACACACACACATACATACATATATGTATACACTTACTTGCATATAAATACATATTACAAGATATTTATAAAAATGGGTCAACAGAGGGAAGTAAGCAGAAACAGAAACACAATAATGTCGCCCTTCCATATCCATGGGCTCTGCCTTTGCAGATTCAAACAGCTGCGGATCAAAAATATTCAAAGAAATTGCTGCTGTGCTGAACATGTGTGGACTTTAGTCCTTGTCATGATTCTCAAAACAATACAGCACAACTACTTATATAACCTTTACACTGGGTTATTACCTAAGGAACCTAGACATGATTTAAAGTACATGGGAGAAAGTGTGCAGGTTGTCTGCAAAGGGTGCATCATTTTATGTAAGGGACTTGAGCATCTGCAGATTTGGGTATCTGTGGAGGTCCTGAAGCTAATCTGTCATGGATACTGAGGGCTGACTATACTACAGTCAGAAAAACCCAGTGACTTTGAAAGTTAATGGATACAAAGAACGGTTTCCATGATGGACAGCAAACAATCCAACTTCCTATCTGGAGGCGGTAGAATTCCAGCTTCCTGCAGAAGGAAGGGACTCTTGCCTGACAGAGGCCTGAAGAGAAAAAACAGACCTGAGAGCACACAACTGGGTTTGAACTCAAGGCCTTGAGCTTGCTAGGCAGGCACTGTATCAAATTTAGCTACACTCCAGCCCTTTTCTGCTTTAGTTATTTTTTGGATAGGGTCTTGCTTTTGCCCAAGCCCAGCCTCAGACCATAGTCCTCCTACTTATATCTCCTGCATAGCTGGGATGACAGGCATGTGCTACCATGCCTGGCTTTTTGTTGAGATAGAGTCTCATGAATTTTGGCCCTGGCTGGACTCCAACAGTGATTCTCCTGATCTCAGCCTGCTGAGTAGCTGGGATTACAGATTTCAGCCACTGCTCTCAGCCCATAATGTGATCTCTTATGGATGAAAATATTTTACAGTTCACTTACTCATCCAATAAACACACTGAACATTTGCCTGTGCCAGGTGCTGTTCTAGGTTCTGGGATTTGGCAGAGAACACAATAGACAAAAGTGTCCCATCTTCATGTGCTTACATCTAAAGGGGGAAGACAGACAATAAGCCAGTGTGTCAGATGGCTAAGGGTGAAGGACAAAACAAAAATGGCACCCAACACATATGAGGTGGTAGCTTTGAGAGTGTGGCCAGGGACAGCCTCACTGGGAAGGTGATTTCTGGGCATGGACAGGAAGGAGCAGAAGGAGGTCTGAGCCATGCAAGCATCCCTCACAAAGGGTTAGGGAAGTCTTCCTCGAGGTGATAGTCTTCATCCATGTTCTGATCTCTTCTCTTCCAGGTAAATAAAGCAGATGCTGTGACTGTTGATGGAGGCTTGGTGTTTGAGGCCAGCCTGGCCCCATACAACCTGAAACCCATCGTGGCAGAATTCTATGGGTCAAAAGATGGTGTGTTCTCCCTGGGGTCCCAGATTTCTAGTGTGACACTGCAGCCTCCGGGAAAGACAGGGACTCTATCAGCCTTACACTGGCAGGGAGCAAAGTTACTAGAGCTCCTTGGATTGGAAGAAGCCATGAGGGTTGGAATATTGGCTCTCCCTAGGCAGCTGCAGCCTCTGTGCATCCTGATGGTAATGCCCTTGGTGCTGCAGGTTGTGGGGTGTCCCAAGGTGGTGCTGTCCCAAGTCCACACCCACCACTAGGGCTGTACCCATTAGAGGCCCATTCCTGGAGACAGGCCAGGATCTGACTCCCTCTCCCCTGTGTTGTCTTCTACACATGCCATAGAACAGGGGTCTTGTGTTTTTCTTTTGCCACTACTGGGGGTTGAAATCAGGGCCTTGTGCCTGCTAGGCAGGCGCTCTACCACTTGAGCCATGCCACCAGCCCTTTTTGTTTTGGTTGTTTTTAAGATAGGGTCTTGCTTTATGCCTAGTCTAGCTTGGACCACCACTCTCCTATTGAGCTTCCCCTGTAGCTGGGATGAGAAGTGCACACCACTCCACCCAGTCATTGGTTGAGATGGGGATCTCTCAAATTTTTTGTCTGGACTGGCCTCCAACAATGAACCTCCCAATGTCCGCCTCTCAAGTAGCTGGGATTACCATCTTGAGCCACTGTGCCTGGCCAGAGTTGTGTCTGTTGTGAGGAGAGATTTGGGGAGGGTCTACAAACAATGCTTTGCTTCTTTCTTATAGTGTCGTCCATGTGTATGTGTGAGCACAGCCCACCTCAGCGTGAGTCCACCTTGCAGGGCCCTGGCATATTCCATGGGCCGCCCTTGCATCCTTCTTCTCACGACTTCACCTTTGAGACTGAGTTGTAGACAGAGAAGCAGAGAAGGGAGAAAAGCCTCACGGAGAAGCAGTGAGAGCACAGTAACTAGGAGCTAAGGTCACAGTCCCTGTAATGACCACAGGCCATCTAATGAGGAGGGGGCCTCAAGGTTCCTCTCTTTCTGGCTTAGAAGGACTGGTGGGAAAAGAAGTACAGATGTTCCTTGACTGACAAACTCACTGTAAATTGAAAATATTGTAAGTCGGGTACACATTGAGTATACCTAATCCACCAGATGTCACAGCTGAGCAACACACAACACCAGAGTATCTGTTGTTTCCCTCCATGATCAAATGGCTGTCTGGGAACCGAAGCTGCCCAGGATGGAAAGAGATGCTGCAAGCCCCAGAAAAGATCAAACTGGTGTGATGGCATACACCTGTAATGACAGCTAGTCAAGAGGTAGAGGTAGGAGGATCACAGACTAAAAATAGCCCCAGGCAAAAGCATGAGACCCTATCTGAAAAACAAACTAAAAGCAAAAGGATTTGGGGCATGGCTCAAGTGGTAGAGTCCCTGAGTTCAATCCCCAGTATCACCAAAAAAAAAAAAAAAAAAAAGGAAAGATCTAATTTAAAATTCAAAGAATGATTTCTACTGACTGGACATAACTTTCTCACACTATCATAAGGTCAAAAAGTCAGAAGTCTAACCATTACAGGTCAGGGCCTTGAGAAGTTTGGGGTTCTCTCTCCTCTCAGTTAAAAAGCGCACCCCCCCCCGCCCCTGTTTCCTTTTCTCTCTGCTTCCCAGGGGATGGGACCAATCCTAGAATCCTCCAAAGTCCTGCTATACACACTGTCGGGAAGATTAGTAGTGATGGTGTGACATCTGTCTTTGACCTTTCTCTCACCCTGCTTCTTTGTAGATCCACAAATGCACCATTATGTCCTGGCCGTGGTGAAGAAGGGCACCAACTTCCAGTTGAACCAACTCCAAGGCCAAAAGTCCTGCCACACGGGCCTGGGCTGGTTGACTGGGTGGTATGTCCCCCTCAGCATACTGCTCCCCTCTGGCTCTCTTGAAACAGGTAAGCCAGCTGGGGCAGGGCTCCCTCAGGTATGGCTCCTGCCTCAGTTGTCCAAATGGGTCATTCTGGGGTCACACAGACATGGTCTCCAAGATGGGACAAGGGCAAGAGCACCAGCATCCCATGAACCTGGAAGCCAGGTCCTCTCTTCTCCCAGCAAAGGTGCTCTGGATCGCTCTGGGTGGCAGTCCTTCTTCCTGGGAACCCCAGCAGCCTGGCTTGACAGGGGCCATCCTGAGGTCCCCTGAGCAAGACCATCTTCTCCCAGCCACACCACAGTCTACACTATCCCTGACTACCCTTCCTTCCAGGAAGGTTCTCTGGGAATTCCAGCCACACCACAGACTCTCAGACCTCCATGCTCAGGTGAGGGCTTGGGACATAGGCAGGGACTAGGTAACTGGGCTGGAGCTAGGGTATTCCAGGATTCTTGTTCAGTTATGATGAACTGAGCGGAGCGCAGGATATCTTTCAACAGTTCAAGATGATCGCCAAAGCCCACACACAACAAAAGTGCTTTTGCTGTTGTTTGTTGTTTTTGGTAGTACTAGGGCTTGAATTCAGGGCCTTGTCCTTGCTAGGCAGTTGCTCTATCACTTGAAACATGCCACCATCCCTTTTTTTGCTCCAGTTATTTTTTGGATAGGGTTTTGCATTTCTGGCCAGGCCTGCCTCAGACTGTGATCCTCCTACCTACACCTCTCAAGTTGCTGGGACTGCAGCTGTGTACTACCATACCCGGTGAAAAGTATGTCATTTTGAGCTCTACCAACCTCTGTAGTGTTCGTGTTTTGATTGTGACAAGGACAAGCAGCTATGGCAGTAGAATGAAGTGCTGCAGCCTGGCCTATAGCTCTAGCCATGTTTTGCCCTTTCTTGGAATGTTCATTTGCCTCAGTCACAGATGCTATCAGATGTCTGTGCAATTAGGCAGTGGCTGCTGACTTAGGCCTACCTCCTTACTAGGAAGCCATCCCAACTCTCTTCCAGAAGAAAGACCCTCAGGAGCCCTCACAGCCTTTAGAAGGGGCAGGAGAAGTGGGCTCATGTCCTGAGGTAATAATGAGGGGTTTTTGGGGGACTGGCTGATTTGCAATGGTTCCTGTCTTGTTCAGAATTCTGCCCAACCTCTTACAGCTTCCATGTTGACAAGGCCAGTGACACTGGGACCACAGCTTGGTTCAGTGGGGTCAGAAGCCCTCACACCCTGCAGCAGACTAGCTGGGGAAACATTTTCCCAGGCTTGAGCCCTGGGCCACTCGTGACCTTGATGTCCAGACACACAAGACCCTGGGCTGTCCACTCTCTCTGGCATGGGCATTCTTAGTCACCTTTTCTGGCAAGGTGTACATGCCTGGCCTCTGCATACCACTTTCGAGAGCCAGTCCTGGGAGGTGGGGCAGCTCACAGCTCCTCAGCTAGGGCCCCAGCCAGGGCCTGTCCTGAGGGCCCTGTCTTGTGTTGAACAGCAGCGACCAAGTTCTTCTCCAGCAGCTGTGTCCCCTGTGCGGATAAGAAGATGTTCCCCAGCCTGTGTCAACTGTGTGCAGGGAAAGGGGCAGACAAGTGTGCCTGCTCCTCCCAGGAGCCGTACTTCAGCTACTCAGGTGCCTTCAAGTGAGTAAGAACCCCCTGCTCCTCCTCACTTTGAAATTGGGGACAAAAGGCACAGGGAGTGGACAGGGCCTGCCCCGGGCATCTGGAGCATCTGTGTGACAGTGAGGTCCTGAATGCCTTCCATGGCCTATCCTTGCTCTTAACAATCCTGGGGAGGAACCCCCATCCCAGAGCCCAGGGCCCACCTGGGTTATTCTCCTGGACCACAGAGGGTTGAGGGATTCTGGGATCTGCAGACACAGGCCTGGGCTGGCAGAGCTAAAGGCTATAGGACCTTCTCCATCACATTCTTCCGCAGAGCTTCTCTTGTACCTGCCTCCTACCTCCCACAGGCTCCTGCAGCATCTGTCTATACTCTGTACTCTCTGTAAGAGACATGGCTACTGTTTAAGATCAGAGCAAAACTGGCCTGGATCCAAGGGTAAAGACCCACTGTCTTTACCCTCCATATAGAAAGGTTTAAGTCTTAGCCAGGCATCGGTAGCTTGCGCCTATAATCCTAGCTACTCAGGAGGCAGAGATCAGGAGGATCACAATTTGAAGCCAGCCCTGGCCAAATAGTTTGCAAGACCCTATCTCAAAAAAACCCATCATAAAAAGAAAGGGCACGGTGGGGAGGGGGGACGGGTGGAGTGACTGGAGTGGTAGAGTGCCTGTCTACCAAGCCTGAGGCCCTGAGTTCAAACCCCAGTGCCGTGGGAAAAAAAAAGCTACAAACCTTTATTTAAAAATAAGCAAAGAGCTGTGGAGTTCAAAGGCCCCTTAAATAAGGCCACCACCTCTGTAAAGTCAAACTTACGGCCCTTGAGCCAGTGGTCCAGACAGTCACAGGACGGCACAAGAGACAAACAAGGCCTGTGCCCAGGGTTAGCGCCTGACTTCAACTTTCCTGGTCCTCAGATGTTTGGAGGATGGCATTGGAGTTGTGAGCTTCGTGAGGCACCTGACAATATTTGGTAAGTGTGAGACCAACGTCCAAGTAGGCCCCAGCCAATCCAGGGGGGATTGACTGTTACCCCAAAGTTCTTTACTTCCGGGGATGAGTGATATCCAGACATTTAATGCCACAGGGGAGATTTTGTGTTTCACATCCACTTTCTTCCACCAGCTCACACCCTGCTGCTGTGTTTCCCTGTGTCAGGGACCTGTGCCTTCCTCCCCCACCGCCCTTAATCCCCTGCTGCTTCTCTCCATAATTCTAGTGACCAAGTTTTCTGACCCTTTCAGCAGTGCTCACTAACTAGTAGAACAAGTTTTACTAATCAATTCTCTTAGTCATTGAAACATCTGAGCCGGGCGTCCATGGCTCACACTTGTAATCCTAGCTGCTTGGGAGGCTTAGACTGGGAGGATCATGGTTTGAGGCCAGCCAGGGCAAATAGTTCATGAGACGCCCCCCATCTCCAAAGTAACCAGAGCAAGATGGACTGGAGGTGTGGCTCAAGCGATAGAGTGCCTACTTTGCTAAGTGGGAAGTCCTGAGTTCAAACCCCATCCCACAGAAGAAAGAAAGCAAGAATGAAATATCTGTTTCAAATTTAATCACAGTCTTCTGAACATCTACTTCATGTAAATGTCTCCAAAGGGCTTCAAAAACCTTAAGCAAACCAATTTTTGCAACTATTTCAGGACTTTGAGATCTATAGTTAAATCTCTCAGACAGCATTATCACCATGAACTAAAATGTATTTCTTCTTTGTTTTCATTTTTGTACTTTTTGTTGTGGTGCTGGGGATGGGACTGAGAGCTTCACACATGCTAGGTAAACGCTCCACCAGTGAGCTACATCCCCAGCCTATCTTTATAAAACAAATAAGGCTTCCCAGTGTTTTATACAATTTACCAGAAGCATACAAACCAACCAACAAAACAGCATTTTAGACAAGCTGGGGTGACAGATACTGTTTGTTTGGTGGTACTGGGTTTTGAACTCAGGGCCTCACACTTGCTAGACAGGTGCTCTACCACTTGGGCCACTCTACTAGTCCTGTTTGCTTGTTTGTTTTTGCAGTACTGGGAATTGAACATAGCACCTCAAGGACACTAGGCAAGTGCTCTAGCACTTGAGCTACATCCCCAGCAGATTCTGGATTTTGTAATCAACCAAATATCTATCAGATACAGAGCACACGGTACCACTCAAAGTCATTAAAACCTAAACATAATTCTCATTTTTATAACAAATGCCTGCCACCTACAGGATTATAAATCCCACATTTTACGTTGGGATTAGTTCCTTTCAACCTTGTGTCCTTCCCTAATATGATGTTTCACTGTCCTTTTTCTCAACATTTTTTTTGGCAGTGCTGGGCTTTGAACTCAGTGTTAGGAGGGCGCTCTGCCACTTGAGCCATGTCCCCAGCTCTGTCCTTTGTCCTCGCATTCTCTGCCTCCTCATGACTACACATTGACCTGGTTTGTTAGCTTGTTGGCAACTTACGTGTGTCCTATTATCAATAATTTTAATTAATGGGGGTCAGCTCTGGGTCTCATCTTCCAGAACCAAGCTGTTCCAAATAATTATTGTTATGTCCTTTGGCTGCCAGAGCTCCACAGTTAGGCCAGGGAACAGTGTCTTCCAGCGTTCACCCTGCAGAATTTGAAAGCATCTTCACTTACGGGAAGATGAGGCCATCCCAGACCATTTTCGAGTTACCTTTGCCCAAAGGCATTCATCTGCCAGTAGGCCAGGTCCCTTCCTGCCTTAAGGAGAGTTTTATGAAAGACGACACAGGGGCTTCAGGGAAGCCAAGGTCTGTTGCTGCCACCAGTGGGCTCTTGAGTGACTGGGGCGGAAAAATGAGAACATATTGATCCTTGGAACTTTATCTTACTTAAAAATTTTTTTTGGTGGTAGTGCTGGGGATTGAACTCAGGGCCTCTTGTTTCCTAGACAGGTGCTCTATCATTCGAGCCACATGCTCAGCTTTGAATTTAATTTTAACATTATGTAATCATTTAAGTTCTTTCCATTTTTTGAGACAAGATCTCACTTTTTCTTCCTTCCTTTTCTCTGTTCTATCTCCTTCCTCCATCCCTTCTTTCCTTTTTGTCTTTTCTTTTTTATATTTTTTGAACCTGGATCTTGCTCTCTCTCCTTTTCTTTCTTTTTCTTTTCTTTCCTTTTTTTTTTTGGCTGTACTGAGGTTGGCGCTCTACCACTTGAGCCACTCCACCAGCCCTTTTTTGTTGGTTTTTTTTTTGAGATAGGGTCTTTGAACTATTTGCCCAGGCTGGCTTCAAACACAATCCTCCTGATCTCTGCCTTGTGAGAAGCTAGGATTCTAGGCATGAGCCACTGGTGCCTGGCTCTCTTTTTCTTTTCCTTCTTTTTTTTTTTTTTTTTTTTGAGGCAGGGTTTCACTATGTAGTCTCGATGACCTGGAACTCACTACTTAATCCAAGCTGGCCCCAAACTCAAGCTCTTCCTGCCTCAGACTCCAAAGTGTCAGAATTATAAATGTGTATCACCACATCTTGCTAATTTTTAAGATTTAAAATGTATTTTCCCTATGACATGCTTCATTAAAACTATAACCATTCCTCATATCTGATTGTATGCCTCTTTTTTTTTATTTATTTATATATTTTTAATTTTTTAAAAATTATTGGTGTGCTGGGAGTACATTGTGACATTTACAAAAGTTCTTTTATCAAATATATCACAGTTGAATTCACCCCTCCTCCATCATTCTCCTTTCTCCTCCCTGCTCCCAATCCTGGAATAATTTCAACAGGTCTCATTTTTCCATTTATATACATGTACTCCTCTTTCAATATGAGATTTTTATTAATCTCAAAGATCTTCTGTATTAGTTTTCTGGGACAGCCAGAACAAACTGGCTTAAGCAAAGGTAATTCATCATCTTCCAATTCCGGAGGCCAGAATTCCAAGATCAAGGTGTCGGCAGGGCTCATCCCTTCTGCAGGCTGTGAGGGAGGATCTGTCTGGACCTCTTTCTTGGCTTGTTGGCATCTTTACCATTTCTTGGCTTGCAGACACATGATTCCAATCTGCTTTAGTACCCACCCAGCCATCTCCCGTGTGCTAAAGTTCCCCCTTTTCTAAGGACATCAGTCCTGTTGGATTAGGGGCCCACTCTGTTCCAGTATGAGCTTGTCTTCACTAATTACATCTGCTGGGACCCTATTTCCAAATAAGGTCATTTATTTCACCCAGTGCGAACAAAGGAGCCTGTTTCTTTGCATCTGCAGAGCTCCCTGACTGGACCCCTCACACTCCTCCCCCACCCTGCGCCCTCCTATCACCTTTTCCCCAGTAGGCTCTGTCAGGGCCTGGATTGTCCTTCCATGGCAAGCTAGAGTGTATGACTCTGTACCCTCACCTCTATGATGAGATCGTTATATTACTGACTTCTAGTTGTTGCAAAGATTAAATGAAATGAAGCACTGACAGCTTTGAGCTCAGTCTCTGGTGGACTGTGAGTGCTCAGTAGACATTTGCTGTCACCATTGGTTTTTTTTTTGTGTGCTACTGGGATTTGAACCCAGGACCTTGTACTTACTAGGCAGGTTCTCTACCACTTAAACCAAGCCTCCAGCCCTTTTTGCTTTACTTATTTTTTGAACAGGGTCAGATTGAGACCCTCCTACTTAGGCCTCCTGTGTAGCTGGATTGGCACATGCTCAGAGCCATGCTAACTTTTTGCCTAAGCTGGCCTGGAACCTACTAGATCCTCTCAACCCGACCTCCTGAGTCGCTGGGATTACAAGCTTAAGCCACCAGGTCCAGTGTTGCTATTACCATTTTTATTAGCAGAGCCACAGAGAAGTGGGCAGCGAAAGGGACACTGGGCTGGGCATGCCTCCCAGGCCTGTGTCTGCCTACGCTGGGATTATGAATTAGTCATTCTACTGCTGAGGCCTCCAGTTCCTATCTGTATAAAAGTCTCTCTAAGTCTCCTTCAGGTCATGCATTTTGTGGTTCAGTGGGTTGAGGACAGCACAGCTTGTAGCTCCATCAGTAATTCATTCACCTGGCCTTTCTGTCCCCAGAGATCCTGACAGAAAAGGCTGACAGGGACAAGTATGAGCTGCTCTGCCCAGACAATACCCGGAGGCCTGTGGACGAATATCGTGAGTGCCACCTGGCCCGGGTCCCATCTCATGCTGTCGTGGCTCGATCTGTGGATGGCAGGGAGGACTTGATCTGGGAGCTTCTCAACCAGGCCCAGGTATCCTGACTGCTGTCCTAACCCTCTCTCTCGCTTAGAGCTCCCTGCTTGGATTTGGGAGGGTGCTTCCTTCTTGCCTTCTGGCCACCCTAGAAGTCCTCGTGTGTTCAGAACACAGTGGGAACTCTGCTGCACATGACCCATCTCATTGACAAGCCATTCACCTTATTTACTCATTACATGCAGCAGAGACTGTGAACCCCTATCTGGCATCACCAACTCAGAGGGCTAAAGACTCTCTGCAGAAGTTTCTCTTGCCCCATTTCATTCTCTTCAGTTTAAACAGATCCCCAGGATGCAGCACAAATGTCCCTTCCTCTTCCACAAAATGAGTCCCTCCTGACTTCCCTCGAAGCTGGTCCTTGGGCATAAGTCATCTGCACCCTATCCTGTGTTGGTAGTTATCTGGCCCACTCAGCCCATTTGTCACCCTGTGCTATCTCTGAGAACAGTCTGCTCAGAAATGGGGGCATCAGAGATAAGTTACACCAAGACTTATCCTTGAATCGCTCAGAAATGGCTGTAGGAGACACAATTAGTATTTATTGTCACTAGGTGGAATTATGCATCCTTGGGGACATGGATCTTGTACCTATTAAGGACAGAGGAACCGATTTGAAGGTGTATTTGGAAGAATCCTAGGTGCTGGGGAGTAAACTCTGTGCACCCAAAGGATTGGGTAGTGGAGGGCAGGTGACATTTCATGCAGAGCCACTACAAAAGCAAAAACCAGTCTTTTGAAAGAGCACATGGATAGGTGCTACCCCAGAGCCCTTGGGAACACAGAGAAGTAGCCCCCTTTGGAGATGGACCGCTGCCTGGCACACAAACCCAAACTTCTTCATACAGACCTGAGGGCAACCCCTGGAAGTTTTCCTGAGATCACACAAGGCAGAGCAGCTGGGATTTAAGTAAAATATTTCTGGGAGAAACTTGAGAACTCCAAGAGTCACAAAGATGTCAGAGCCCTGGCCACCACCTCCATGCTCTGGTGCTGTTATCATTGGGGTACATCCCAAAACCCTCCATGGATGCCTGAAATAGTGACTAGTCCCAAACTCTTTATAGATGCACCTCAACTTATGATGGTAATTGTAATGTCAAAAATCATAAGTCAAAATTTTGTTCACAACCATCTGTAGTGTGCTTTTTCTTGTACATTTAAACCTATACCAAAGTTCAACTGAAAAATTAGGCACAGTAAGAAATCAACAATAACAATAATAAAATACTAATAAAAGTTACTTTAAACTGACTGCTTATTTCTGGAACTTTCCATTTACCATTTTCAGAGTGTGGTTAATAGCAGAGAGATGACACTGTGGACCAGGGGACGACTGCATGTCTCTCTGTTTCCCTTGTCTGGTTTTGGGTTTGTTTTATGTGTACTTTTATCTTAATGTCAACTTCCCTCCTTTACTCTCTTTTCTCTTTTGAACAGGAACATTTTGGAAAAGATAAGTCATCACAGTTCCAGCTCTTTGGCTCCCCACATGGAAGAGACCTGCTGTTCACCGATGCCACCCAGGGATTTTTAAGAATCCCCCCTAAGATGGACGCCAAGCTGTACCTGGGATATGAGTCTTTTTCTGCCATTGAGCATCTAAAGAGTGGTATGGAAGGTCCTGGGAAGGACTTGGCAAGCTTGGGCAGCAGGGCAGGACAGGGACCACAGAATGAGGCTGTCCTGGTGTCACCAACCTTAACAGGCCCACAGGAGAGCTAACTGCACTGGGCAAATGAGGAATTTTAGTTTCTTTTCCTTTCTTATTTGTTTTATTTCATTGAGGGGATTTTCTGCTAAGCTGGGAGAAAGCTTAAGTTATGTGATTACAAAGGTTTTTTTTTTTCATTTTTTTTTTGGGGGGTACTAGGACTTGAACTCAGGGCCTCTTGCTTGCTAGGCAGGTGCTCTACCATTTGAGCCACTCTGCCAGCCCTATAAGATGTTTTTGAAGACCTTCCTATTACAGACAACTTGAAGTAATATTGGTTTGGGCTACTTTGTATTAATCAAGTTGACTCAGCTCGTGACAGGGAAAATAGTCGACCAGAGAATACAGCCACAAAGTTGAACTAGAACTTCAGAGATTTTGAGTCTGGCTCCTGCCTTCCACTGTATCCCCTCAATGCCTTCCTTCTTTGCTTTTTTTTCCCTGTCCCTTCAGCCCACCAGTAGTTACTGGACACCTAAAGAGGGCAGTGAAAGTGTTATATGGGTGAACCAAGACTTGGCATGAGACCCACTCAGAGCAGGACACATGAATACTGCCTGGAGCCTGCTCCCTGCATGGGGAGCCTATCAGGGAAAATCCTAGAAGGCCCTGATTGGGGCTGGAGCTCTGAGAGACCTCCATGGGGAGTGATGCCTGAGCTGAGGTCAGGAGGGAGGGGATGGGCTTCATCTTCATGTTCTTTCTGGAGTTTCCCACTCCTCCTGGACAAGTGTCGTGGGAGTGACACAGGCACAGTCTGCTGCTGTTAGTGAGGTCTCATTCGGCCACTCCACAGTCATCTTGGGTTTCCTCAGAATCCCCAGCTCTTCACCCGTCCTAGGTGTGGAAGACTCCCAGAGGGTGCAGTGGTGTGCAGTGGGTCACCATGAGAGGGCCAAATGTGACCACTGGAGTGCAGTGAGCGGTGGAGCCTTGGCATGCACCATGGAGGAGACCTCTGAGGACTGCATTACTGCCATTGTGGTAAGAAGGCCCTGCTTTCACAGCTGGACTCAGACCCTTAGACACTCAGTGCTTCTGCAGAGTGTGACATTGAAGACCTCATCCCAGATCACTCCATGCTAACACCTATTGTGTGCTACCTCCCACCTCCCAAACCCCACCCCACTTACTCCTCAGTCCCCTAGCTCAGGGCCAGAGAGAAACACAGGACCGGCCCAAGTCCCAGACTCCTTGGGGCTCAGCTCTGGGGTCCAGCGAACTTGGAGATGTGTTCTTCCTACAAGACCCAGAAAGTGTGGTGACATTACAGGGCGTGATCGGGTCACTGCGGATTGTAAATACAGATCAACCTTTTTCAGTCCTGAATTTTATTTCTGATCATAAAACAGTGACTTCATTCTGATAGAGAAATAAAGAAACAAAACCATTTACACCTTCATCAGAGATCGTAGTCAACTTTCTGAGTGATGACATTGTTGCATTAATAATTTTCCATCTCTCTATTAGCAGTGGATATTTTTGCGATTAGGAAAAAATAAATTTATAAATAGAAGGTTGAAAAACTCACAGACTTAGGAGACTGAATAATGATCTTGCTTAACTTGAGAAAATCCTGATTTTGGTAAAATTCCTGGCACCAACTCATAAGATTCAAATCTTGGGGGCTATATATATTCCTAAATTTGTCAGCTGTTAGCACTATTTTAATTTGAGTGCTCAGAATATTGCTTGGCAAAGAGTAAGCTGTCAATAAGTGTTGGCTATTATTATTATTTAAAGTCTTGGGTGGTAAGGGAGGGGGTGGGGGCAGGGGGGAGAAATGAACCAAGCCTTGTATGCACATATGAATAATAAAAGAAAAATGAAAAAATAAAAAATAAAAAAAAATAAACTCCCCCCCCCAAAAATAAATAAATAAAGTCTTGAGCACAGGTGGTATACTTTATCAGTTAAAATGTTTTTAAGGCTAGACATGTGATTTATGCCTGTAATACTAGCTACTTGGGAAGCAGAGATAAGGAAGATCATGGTTCAAGGTCAGCCTGGGCAAAAAGTTCTCAAGCTGACAAACAAGTCAGACGTGGTGGTGCATGTCTGTAATCTCAGCTACACAAGAGGCATAGGGGTAATATTGTGGTCCAAAGCAGCCCAGGCAAAAAAGCAAGACCCTATCTGAAAAATAGCTTGGAGCAAAAAGGGTTGGAGGCATAGTCAATATAGTAGAGCACCTGCCTAGCAAGTGCAAGGGCCTCAAGTTCAAATCCCAGTACCACTAAAAAAAAAGTTATGTTTTTAGCAGCTATATAATATTCCACCAAGTATTTCTGCCTCAATTTACTTAACCGATTACTAAATGTTTATACTTGAGGTATTTCCAAGTCCTTTGCTAATGTAGATCATGGGGAGCAGAAATTTTTGTAGCTGTATTTCTGGGTACATCTTTAATATTAATGCTGATATTTCTGAAGTCGTTTTCTATGTGACAACCATATTTACGGGCTCTTAGCATCCCTTAACTCATTTACTCCTCATGATAAGCCTATAAGGGATTTTTCATCCATTTATGGATTAAAAATTATAGCCAGCATAGTATTTTAGAGATGTGCTCTGGAGGCTGTGTGGTACAGTGGTTACTGCAGGTTACACTGCAGAAATTTCAGTCTCAGTGGCCTTCTATTGGGCAAATTATTTAACCTCTCTCCTATTCAGTTTCCTAACCTATCAAAGAAGGGAAATTGTAGGACCTGTGTCATTGGAGCTTGTGACAAACACACAAGGTAAGCCCTGTGTTCAGGGAGGAGCCTGGTGCATAGTGAGGGTGTGGTGAGTTTTTTGTTTTGTTTTGTTTTGTTTTTGCTGCTGTAGTTTCTGGTTTTCAGGTTTCCAGAGGGCAGTGAACAGGTCAAAAGCAAAGATGTGTATATGTCTGTGTATTTTCATGCCAATGACCTTGTTTAATGACTATAAGAATATCTTTTTTTTTGTCCTATGGTTATAAAAATTGATTTTAAAAAGTTAATCATGAATGGGTTATTTAATTAGAGAAATTAGTTATTAATTGCAAACATTCATTATGCCAGGCTCTGAGTGTGGTGCTAATAGGATTGTGGGAATGGGTTTGAGCTCCATAGTTGGAAGGAAAACATGTTCAATAGAAACCAGTGAAGTGCAGTCCTTGAGTTTGGCCATGTGGATTTTTGCAACACTGGGGATTGAACTCAGAGCCTCATGCTAGGGATGTACTCTACCACCTGAGGCACGTCCTCAGTCCTTTTGATTTTAGTTTCTTTCAGATAGGGTCACGAACTCTTGCTCAAGCTATCCTAAGACCTCAGTCCTCCTAGCTCTGTCTCCCAAGTTACTGAGCTCATGGGTGTTTGCTACCACCCCAAGCCTTGGCCATATGGATTGTTGAGTTGAGTGACAGTGGTCACAAAGGTGTGCTGAGGGCATGTCCAGAGAGCATGACCTGGGTTGTGCACTTGTTTCTGGGTCAACAGGCCAAAGGCATGTCCCAGTTTTCTAAAGTTCGCATTTATATGGTAGATTTGGGTGATCCATGATTTGATTACTTACAAAAGACATGTGAGGTAAAGCCAACAAGATAAAAACCTCCAGGGTCAGTGGGATAGGAGACAGCTTGCCATGTGCTATGGGTTTGTTTCTTCAGAAAGGAGAAGCTGATGCTATGACCTTGGATGGAGGATACATGTATATAGCAGGCCAGTGTGGTCTGGTGCCTGTCCTGGCAGAGAACTATGGTGAGTGGAGGGGAGCGCCTCTCTGGTTTCTTCCCCCTGGACCACAGATGTAGAAAGAGGTGGAAACAGTGTAGCTCAGTTAATATAATAACTGTTGTTGCAGTGTAGAGAACTAGAAGGTAGAATCGCCCTTCTCCAAAGCCAAAACTAGTTAACATATAGGTGCAGGAGTCAGGCAGAAAGAGCCCAAAATAATGCCTGTGGAGAGATATCGGAAGACATAGTGTAGAGCTGGCACAGGGCCGGCCAAGTCTCCCTCGTGTAAAAGTTGCCACTAACTCATGGGAAGACGTCAGGACTTCCACAGCAAGTGTGAAGGGGTCTTGGCCAACATCTGCAGTGGTCTCTGCCTCTCCCCAGTGATGGCTGTCTCATTTCCTTTATTTTGTGTCTGCTTGAGTATTGAGGAGAATTTGGGATGGCATCTAAGGTTCGAATGGCCAAGGTCAGGGGACGGGGGTTGAATGGGTCTGTTGGTAACTAGAGCTAGATTGCTTAGTTAGGGGCTCTCTGTTCATTGCTGAGGACCCAGATGCTCGTGACTTTGGATGGAGTAACATGGAGCTGAATGCCATGTTTCTTGATTGTATCTGTTTCTGGTTTTTTTAGAGCCAAAAGATGGCAGTGAGCATCTTGGGTCAAAGTGTGTGAATGCACCCTTGGAAGGTGAGTGAGGATCAGTAACACTGGGGCTCAAATGTAGAAGCCAATGTTGGGGGAGAAGATGAGGAAAGCCTTAAAAACAACCCAAAATTACTAGAATTTGGGGAGGTGTAGGTAGGAGGATCTTGGTCCAAGACTAGCCATGGGCAAAAGCAAGAGACTCTATCTACAAAATAACTAAAACAAAAAAAGGTTGGGGAGTGTGGCTCAAGTGATAGAGCACCTGCCTAGCAAGTGTGACATCCTGAGTTCCAACCATAAAAAAAAAATTACTAGAGTTAGAAAAAAACCCCAAGTTCATCATAAGACGCAAATCTGTCCTGACGCTGTCATAATAATTAATATCTGGAGGGTACAATGCAGTTGATAAAGGACTCCTCTTGGCACTCCTCCCATGGGCTCTTCTCATCAACTCTATAGGTGGACATTATTGTCCCATGGAATGCAGGTGGAAAGAGTGAGGCTTAGGGACTGTGTGGCTTGTACATACAGGGCCACCCAGCTGGGAGGTGACTGCACCTAGGCTTGAGAAGAGGTGTAGTGATGGAAACCCTGAGCCCTCCTGACAGCTTGCTCCTCCTGTCACACATGGCCTGTCCATCTCTGCATGAAGGTCAGCACCAGGGAAGGAGCCACTCCTGGCATTTCTGGGGCCAGTTAGAGGCCTCATGAGAGGACAGAATTCCCACGTGCTGCTAAAGAAGATGAAGGAAAGTCCAACCCACCCTTGGGCTTGTAACCAACTGGAACCCCTAGCAGCAGAGTGGACCTGGTCTTTAGAACAACCCACCACCAGGGGGCAGCTTCTCCCATCTGTGTCTCCAGACAGACCCACGGGTTCCATCTCCACCCAGAACAGCCTAATCCTAGTAGAGACAGTGGTCCTCAGGAGTGACCTCTGGACAACAACATCCACATCATCTGGCCATTTGTTAGACATGAAAGTCTTGGGTTTCCATGCTAGTCCTACTGAGTCAGAAAGTGCTCGGATGGCCCAGCAATCTGTTTTAACAGACTCAAGGCATGTTAAGGTTTGAAAACCACTATGAGAGACAATCTTGAGTGAAAGCCAGCAATTTTCTTGCATTTTGCATTTCCTGTGAGGCAGGAGAGCTGGGGAACAGGAGGTGTTTGGATCATCACAACACAGCAACATCCTATGGGCTCCACTCCTTACTGTGTACTAGGTTGCAAAGGCCCTGCACTGCCACCCTTCATCAAGGCCACCAAGGGGCACAGTCAAGGTGTCACTTCCTTTGCCCCCTGCAGCAGCCTCCTGTCTCTCTCCCGTTAAACAGGACTCCTTAACTCTCCCCTCTGCTTTCATGGCTAAGATGTCTTCTCTGAATCATGTCCTCATTTTCACACCTATGACCCAGCCTTTCATCAACCCTGTATTCTAGTCAATCATTTATAGTCTGAAACAACCCTGCCTGCTTCAGGAATAGCTGAAATTTCCAGGAACTGCAGTGATACACAAATGTAGGTCAACAAGGAAGCTTAGACAGCATTCAGATACCAACAACATGGCTGACAGAGGGAGCGGGTCCATCTGAGTAAAAACGGAGAGCAACCTGTGTGTGATCATCAAGTCTCTCTCTCTCTCTCTCTCAAAGATGGATGATGATGATTAATGCTCTAAGTACAGAAATAGTTTCATATGAAGACAGGCTCTGTAACAGCATTTGGTTAATATAAATAAAGATCTATATACATAACTTTTTGGGAGTGAGGTACTGGGGGTTGAACTCCAGTCTTGAGCTTGTTAGGCAAGTACTCTATCATTTGAGCCACACCTCCAGCCTTTTGGCTTTAGTTATTTTTTTTGAATAGGGTCTCACATTTTTGTGATTCTCCTATTTATATTTCCCCCATAGCTGGGATGACAGGTACATGCCACCATGCTCAGCTTGTGTGTTGAGATGGAGGTCTCTCTAACTTTTTGCCCAATTTGTCCTTGAACTGTGATCCTCCTGATCTCCACCTTCAGGATAGCTGGGATTACAGGTGTGATTTTATATATACTTATATATGTATATAATTAATAATGTGTATATTGTAATGTATAGGTACATATACTTATATGTATATATAAATGTATTGTTATAAATATATAGCTTGTAAGTAAATATTATATGTTTACACATACACATAGTACACACACACACACATATACAGAAGGTTTGGGGGCTTTTTCCTGTAAAAGCAAACTTGCTCAGAAGACTTGAGTTTTCTCTGAGACAGCCTTGTTCCTTGCTTAAAAAGACAGCAGCGAGCATCAGCAAAAATTCAAGATGAAATGAAGTACTAATTTAAGCAGGAAGGGACTTAATGCAGGTAATTAGATGAATATTTACAAAAAGTGGGCTCTAAAAAGTGGAGATTGTACCTCCAAGCTCTCCAGGAGTGCAGTGATTTCCTGTCACTGTGACCCAGGCACAGGAAGCCAGGACCCATTCAGCTGTTGCTACTGCAGCTGCTGTAATCACTTCTAGTCTGCCAAGGTGTGGAAGGGGTGCTGGAGGGGTGGACACGAAGATTCACATTTTCACACTTTGTTTCCTAACAGAAGGGGAAGGCAGAAGACCCCCCATATGACTTCCAGCCTCCCAATCTCACACACCCCTGGTATCTGCACTGCAGGTTACTACGTCGTGGCCGTGGTTAAGAAATCAGATGCTGAAATCACCTGGAATTCTCTGAGAGGCAAGAAATCCTGTCACACAGCAGTGGGCACTTCCTCAGGCTGGAACATCCCCATGGGCTTAATATACAACCAGACTGGGTCCTGTAAATTTGGTGAGTATGCTGTGCTGGCTGACAGTCTCCTCCTTGGGCCTGTGCCTGGATAGGGAGAAATCCAGTGCAGTGAATGTCAAGGATGTCATAAGTGGGTGGTGCTGTCGATGTCTTGACAGACCTAAGAGCGAGCCCCACTTCTCCCTGAGCACGTCCCCTTCTTTCTCCTCACCCCCTTGCTTCTGAAGGGCATGCGTGGCCCCAAGAGCAGAGCTCGGGGAAAGAGCCCTGTTCATTTTGTCTCCCAAATAACTCAGGATACAAGCAAAGCCCATGTGTGTGTGCGCACGTGGGCTGATTTCACAGAGAAACTGAATTGGCTGCTTATTTGAAAACCTCCCACCAGGGAATGAGAACTGTAGCTTTTATGTTCATCTGGCCTCACTTAGATTCCCGCACTAGCCATTTTAGCTACACACTTTAGTATCTAAAAGGCTTTCTTCTCCTTTCTTTCTCCGTCCATATGACAAATCCCAGCCCTGCATGAAGCCCATCTTCTGTTCTCCTCATACCTGAGCAGCTGAACACACCTAAAGAATGTCACAGGGCTGTTCTGTTAAATGAAAATGCCCCAGCCTTTGGCCTCCATGGGTCCCCAGCACCCCTGAGCACCCCCATTGTTTCTCTGTTCCATAACCCATACTTCCCAATAATTATCCTAATATCCAACTTGTCTACATACCTCAGCCCCACGCCCATCTGCCATACTTCTCAGCAGATGATCCAATCTGCACCGTAGAGGATAACTGAAACCTTTGAGAGGTTCGTCCTTAACATGCCACTGCTAATGCTGGGCCTCCTGGCAGCTGCCTTTCCCAGCTTCCTCCACCCAGTCCCTCTACCTGCATATGGGTGCCAGTTATGCCCCTGCTCCCCTCCGTGGAGTCTCAGACCCTTAGCTATTTCTTCTCCCTCTGGTGTATCCAACAACTTCCTTCAACATGTAAACATGTTTCTCCCAATGTTCTCCAGTTCCTTTACTGCCTGACATCTGAAAAACAGAGTCTGAACCATTCACCTTCCACTTACTCCTTAACTACCTGTCACCCATCTGGTCTGCATCATCCCACAGAAAGACTCTGGTCACGACCAACAGTGATCTCAGGTTGCTCATCTGGAAGGATGTGCTCCAGCCTTTACCTCCTGACTTCTCAGCATGCTTTCTTCAAACTGCCTTAAAACACTAGCTCCTGGTTTTTGTGAAGACACACTGGCTTGCTTTTTCTCTTACAAATCCTCTCCCCCTTCCAACTTGGTTAGGAAATATTTGAGTTGCATTAAAGTGATTATTTTCCCCCATCTAAATCCAATCCCCCAGCACTCAGACTGTAGGTTCCAAGAGGATAGGGCCTTTGCCCCATTTCCTCAGGGGTAACCTCGAGCCCAGTGGCAGGTTTGGTGGCCATGCCTCTCTAACCACTTCCTGACTTGAAGTCACAATGGTTTCAAGGAGGGCAAGGAGAACAGAGCAGAGGTGGTTCAAGTTCAGTCAGCTAGGACTTCCACTTTTTCCATTCTCAAAGGGCTGAAGTCTGTGTCCAATTCTACACCACTACTCTGTGCCAGGACAGGGTGGCTTCCATAACTTCACAGATGCTGATCCATCTTGCATTGTTTCCCCTTTGCTGAAATGGTTTTTAATTAAATGCCACTACAGAACTTGGTGTGTCTTTGCATTATCCTGACAATAGTAAGGACAAATCCTGAGGCATTCCTACTATTAAAGAAAGAGCTGACTCTGGTTGTCCTCTTCACTCGACAGATGAGTTCTTCAGTCGCAGCTGTGCCCCTGGGTCTAATCCGGACTCCCCTCTCTGTGCACTGTGTGGTGGTAGCAGCAATCCAACCCACCTGTGTGCTCCCAACAGCAACGAGAGATACTTTGGTTCCAGCGGGGCTCTCAGGTAAGTAGTGTCTGAGCACCCCTTTCTCTTTGCAGCACCCCAGTGAACTTTTCATTCCCTCACCCTTCCCAGCATCCCAGCCTCTGGGTGTTTATTTAAAAGGATTAGGAATTCGAAAAGAGCTACTGCAATTCTGAGTGGCTCTAAGGACTGAAGTCCAACCAAGTTCTAGTGTTTTGTTTTGTTTGGGTTTTTTTTTTTTTTTTGGTGAGACTGGGGTTTGAACTCAGGGCCTCAGGCTTGCTAGACAGGTGTTCTTACTGTTTGAGGTACTCTGCCAGCCCCCAGCCCAGTTTTAGAGCCTTCTCCTGCAGGCCTAGCTGACTTAGGGCAGTTCAGGACTCTGGGTGGAGGGCACAAGAGTGATGGCTTCAGAGTTACCACCTGGTTCTGCTCCTTTCTTCAGTGTGATTGTCGACAAGTTATGCAATCAGTTTAAAATCATAGGAGACACACCAAACACTTTGCTTCTTACACTTGGCTGTTGAATGTCTTTTAAAAATACATATCCCTGGGCTTCTCCACCCATTCAAGAAATACTTATTGAACTTCTACATAGAGGAGTTATAGTAGCCAACAGACATGCATGGCCCTGCCCCTGTCACCCCCGCCCCGGTCCTATGGGAAGAGCAGCATAATAAACACATAAATAAATGACAGGACTCCTCCCAACTGTACAAACTGCAATGCAACCAAGGGGGGATGTATTAGTTAGCTTTCTGTCACCATAACAAAGTATCTGAGATACGTAGCTTATAAAGAGAAAGGGTTTTTTTGGTTCATGGTTTTAGAAGGTTGCAGACCATGATCCAATACTCTTAGGCCTGTAGTGAGGCAGCACATTATGGCAGAAAGCCCATGCGGAGCAAAACCACTCACCTCACCACCAAGATGCAAAAGAGAAAAAGCAGAAGAGGTTGGAGTCTAGCAAACCCCTTCAAGGGCAAGCCCCCAGTGGCCTAAGGACCTCCCACAAGGCCCCACCTCCTCACGGTACCATGACCCCCTAATACCACCACCCAGGGGACAATGCTTTTAATATATGGACCTTTGGGAGACAGTCAAGATCCAAACTACAGCAGGGGGTGATATGGCAGTGGCCAAGATAGGGGACAATTTCAGAAAAGGAGGTCAAAGAATGCCCCAGCAAGCAGGGGACCAGGTGAACTAAGAATTAAATAATGAGAGAATGAGACCTGAGAAAATCTGGAGGAAGAAGGGTGAGCAAGGACAAGGACATAGGGTGTGACAAATCATGCTGTGTTGGAACCAGCAGAGGTCTGTGGACTGAAGTGTGGAGAGGAAGGAGTGTGGCATGAGACCTGCTGGAGTGACAGGCATTGGCTGTGTCTTGGAGTCCTATGGACTTGGTTGAGTAGGTAGATTGAATGCTAAGTGCGATGGAAGGTTCTGGATACCTTGAGGCAGTGGGACCATGTTGTGTAATGACCAAGAGTTGTGTGGGCCATGTAGGAGGCTCTAGAAATTACTCTTTTCTCCATAGACACCAGCGTATTCCACTACCAAACAGCTTCATCCTACCTTCTGCAAAGTTTTGTCTCTTTCATGAGCCATACATAAGTTACAAGAATATATGCTGACCGTGAAAACTAGGCTAAAATAGCTTAACTTTTTTGAACATCAGAAGGTGCTTTGGCATTAAGCTCAGTCCCATTTTGATACTATCAAGACAGCATCATGGAGGACCTAGAGTTCTTGGGGTTCTATCCAGAATTACAACTTACCAAAATGAAGATAAAGATACAAAGAACAATCTTAGCTTCCAACATCTCATTCTCACTGTCTACCTGTCTTTTCACTCCTCTTAATTTCATGACTCCAATAGCCATTCATCCTGCTGAGCTGTGATCCACTGAGCTTTCAAGTTCATCCCTGTTTTCCCACCCTTGCCCATGTCCTTGTTTTTTCTCTGTAGTTAGAAGCACTATGACCAGCCATGATCCCTATTCCCCTGCATGCTTTGTTCACTGTCTTGGTCAAACTACAGCCTTGGGTGAATCCAGACACTGCCTGGTGTCTGGACTTTCAGGCTGGCTGTGTGCCTTTAAAGTGACGAGGACCAAGCTCAAATCAACCATGTCTCTGGCCTCCCACCCTTCTTAGGAGATGATTCCATACTTCTTCCTCGCCTCAGACCTCCACCCCTTCCTCCCCCATCTTTCATACCTCTGTTCCTGTTTCTCCTAAGAAAGCCGAAACAATCAAAGGAGAAATCCCACAAGATCCCACTGTCACCTCTACCCCCATGTCATCATCTGTGCCTCTCTCCTCATACTCTGGATTTCCACTATTTCCTGCAAAGCCCAGTCCTGAACCTACATAAACTGCTTTTTCTCAAGGGGAAGCAAGTTCAAGGGCACTGTTCCAGCAGTTCTCCCTCTTTCTCCTTCCTTCTCACGTTATCTTCTTTACATCGGCCTACAAACATACTGCTGGGTTTTTTTTTCCATCTTAAATATAAATAAATTAGAGAAACATCTTCACTTCTCTTTCCTCTCTAGTAACTACCCATTTTTCTCCTCTTTACAACAAAGTTTCCTTGAAGGAATTAAACATCCTTGTTCTCTCAATTTTCTGTCCTTTCTGTCTTCCCAGAACCAAAGCCTGTTCACCTCCTTCATCCCCATCCGGTGGAATTATTTTCAGAAAATATATGTCCTGTTGTCAGAACATGGACACAATACTTTTGATCTCCCTTTGGTCCACCACAGTCCATCCTGCAGCTGAAACTGTACTTGAAGTCGCCAATGTTCTTTACAGTGGCAAATGTCCTTAGTCCTTGCATGACTTGATCTACTAGCATCATTCACCATCAATCAGTTCCTTCTGTTGAATGCCTTTCTCCTTTGGCTTTCAGAAGGCCAGGCTCTTGGATTCCTTCCTCTTTCTCCTGATATTGCACTCAGTCTCTGTGGGTCTTACTCCACCTTCCAGATCTCTTTCCCAACATGTTGATGTGTGCCAGGGCTCCATCTTTGGAATTCTCTCTTCATGCCCACACCTTTGGTGGTCTTAATCAGTTTTGGTCCATCTATGTGTTAACATTTCCCAAGTTTGCATTCCACTTCTGATGTCTCTCCAAAACTCTAGATGAAACTCCAGACCCATAGATTCAACTGCCTACTGGTTTTCTCCTCATGACTTTCTAATCACTATCTCAAATTTAAAGTCCAAACCAACTCCTGATATTTCACACACTTCCATCCAAACTGGTACCATTTCAGTTAAAGATAACCCTATTTGCCCTGTTGGAAAAAAAAAAAAAGTCAAAACCTTGCTGTTTTGTTACTCTGTTCTCTCACACCCCATATCTGGCCCATCACCAAATCACATTGGCTTTATCTTCAAAAGCTAGAATTCACCTCACCACCCGTCTCCACTGATATCGTCCTGATCCAAACCACCACCCTCTCTCTGTGGATTTTTATAACTTAACAGGTCTCCATGCATTTCCCTGCCCCCTTCCCATACACAACACATCAGCCAAAGTGATTCTGTTAAAAACATAAAGCATGTACTTCTCTGCTCAAAGCCTTTGTATGGCTTCCCATATCACTCAGAGTAAAAGACAAGGTCTGCTCTTTGATCTATATGGCTCTTTGTGATGTGGGAAGGCCCTTCTCCTATTTCTTCCCTCTTGTGCTCTCTGCTCCAGCACTCTTGGCATCTCTAATGTTCCTCGAAGACATCAAGCACAGTTCTGCCTGGGGGCCTTTGCACTTGCTCTTATCTTTATCTTCACGTCTCATGGCTGGCTCATTCATTTCCTTTAGGACTTCTCAGAGATGTCTTTCCTGGCCACCTATAATTTTACACACTCACACTCACATGCAACCTTCTCAATATTTCACATCCTCCTTTCTTGCTTTTTGTTTGTTTGTTTCATGGTACAGGAGTTTGTACACAGAGCTTCATACTTGCAAGGCAGGTGCTCTACTGCTTGAGCCACATCTTCAGCCCTTTTTGCTCTGATTATTTTGGAGACAGAGTCTCACTTTTTGCCCAGGCTGTCTTGGACCATGATCCTTCTATTTCAAGCTTCCTGCCATAGCTGGGATGACAGGCATGCACAACCATGCCCAGATCTTTTCCATGGAGATGGTGTCTCTGGAATTTTTTTCCCCCTGGGCTGGCCTGAACTGCCATCCTCCTGATCTCAGCCTCCTGAACAGCTTGGGGGACGGGTGTATGCCCCTGCATCTGGCATTTTACATTCCCTCTAGTGTACTATTTTTTGTGGTACAAGCTTCTTTTCTTTAGTAAAACGAATGAACTACTTTGTTTCCAAGTGAGAAACCCTCCTGAGACCCTGCTTCCAGCAAGGAGGATGTTTTCACAGGTGCTCTGGGGGCTCCTTGGAAGAGTTGACCCCCTGGGCCTTGGAGCCAGCCAAGATGCTTGAGGGGTAGCATTGACACTCACATTCCAGGACATCCAGCCAGATAAACTTATTGATGATTTTTTTACTGCATGGGGATACTGCTTCTCCTGCTTGTTTTGTCTCATTCTCTTTTCCTGTGTATCTGTCTCCTTTTCTCTTTTCGTGGAGGTGTTTTCTATTTCTTAGTCTACACGGAGGGAAAGGTTCACTACTGTACCTCAGTTACCAAGGAGCAAACCTAGACCATAACGTAGCAGTCCTGAGTCCCAGGAAAGTTGATTGTCAGCTGTCTGGGTGAAAACTTTCTGCCTGCACAGCTCATGCAGTGAAGTGAGATTGCTAAAGTTACAGCTGCTTCACTGTGACCAACTGGATTGAGGGGGCCAGGAACAGGAGGAATCAATTCTCAAAAAGTAGCAATGCTTGGGCTGGGGCTTGAGTCAAGTGATGGAGAGCCTGCCTGGTAAGCTCTGAGTTCAAACTCTAGTACCACCGAAAAATAAAAATAAAATTAAAAATAGAAAAATAACAATGTTCAAGGGACCAACCAAGAGCCTTATTTATTTATTAATGGTGGTACTGGGATTTGAACTCAGGGCTTTGTGCTTGCTAGGTAGGCACTCTACCACCTAAGCCATACCTCCAGCTCAAGAGTCATAAATTTTTAAAATGAAATTACACAAAAAATTGTATATTCTAGATATGAAATCACATTGCAATACTTCAGTAATCAATACAGAATAGTTGAAGTGCGAGAATGACAAACCTGGGTATGGTAGCACACACCTGTAATCTCAGCACTTGGGAGAGTGAGGCAGAAGGATCTAGAGTTCCAGACCAGCATGGAGTGCATGGTGAGACTTTGTCTCAAAAAAAAAAAAATGGTAGGGAAAGACAATGGGGTAGATATGGTGGTGTACACTTATAATCCCAGTCATTTGGAAGGCATAGACAGAAGGATAACATCCAAAGATGGCTCCAGGCAAAAAGTTAGCAAAACTCTATCTAAAAAAATGACTAAAGCAAAAAAAAAAAAAATTGCAGGGGCAGGGTTCAAGTGTGGAGTGCCTGCCTAGAAAGCATGAAGTCCTGAGTTCAAATTCCAGTACTGCCAGAGAAAAAAACATTTAAATGCTGATGAAGAGAGACAGAGGAAGGGGCTGGGCACAAATAGACCCTTCAAAGGCACTCCCTCCTCTTCTAACTAGGCTGTAACCACCTAAAGTTTCTACCACCTCTGAAAACAGTGCCACCAGCCAAGCACAAACCTTCAACCCATGAGCCTGTAAGGACCACTTCCTATGCATAACAGCTCTCCTGGCAATTAATAGTTATTTCCAACTGACTGGCTGTCATAGAACGAATTTTTAATATGCTCAGCATTTCTCCTAACAAATGTACCTTAAATACAGAAAAACATGTTTTGTGGGGCTAAAGGTGAACGCATGTCCAACCTGAGTCATCCCTTGGCTATCCCTCCTCTGGAGAAAATAGTATTTAAATGAGGACCTGAATGATGGTTATTCATAACCAAAACTCAATAGGCAGTTCTCTGTTTCTGTTACATCCCTTTCTAATCCCCAGGGATGGTGGGGGAATCATAGTCACTGGTGTGGAAATGTTGGGGTGAGTGACTCCTTCTTGGTGTCTCCTTCCCACTCCTGTTGACCCTCCTCACTGATGTGGTCCTCGCTGTGCAGGTGTCTGGTTGAGAAGGGAGATGTGGCTTTTGTGAAGCATCCCACGGTCCTGCAGAACACCAATGGTATGTGTCTGTCCTGTCCTTTCCTGTTGGAAAACTCCAAATCTCCATGTGGAATCACTCCCCAGCAGGGCAATGGGAAGTGTAATGCCCTATCAGATCCAGTGACTTGGGTACTCACATTTTTAATTCAGGGAATAAGAGCATTTTTCATGTCTGTTCAGGCTTGATAGGGCTGGCTATCATCCTGATCCTGAATCCAACTGCCAAACACGCAGGTGTGAGCATGTCTGACTCCCTCGACCTATATCATTCTTTACATATTCTGGGTACAAGTTTTGCCAGCTATACGTATTGAAAAATATCTTGTCTCTTTCTGGGAATTCTTTTCACTTTTTTTTATGTCAGTACTGGGGTTTGAACTCAGGGCCTGTGTTTGCTAGACAGGCACTCTACCACTTGAGTCATACTGCCTGCCCTTTTCATTTTCTTAATGGTGTCTTTTGATGAACAGACATTCTTATTTATTTATTTTTGGTGGGACTGGGTTTGAACTCAGGGCTTCACACTTGCAAAATAGGCACTCTACTGCTTGAGCCACATCTCCAGTACATTTTGTGCTGGTTATTTTTGGAGGTGGAGGTCTCTTGAACTATTTGCCTGAGCTGGTCTGGAACCTTGATCCTCCCAATCTCAGCCTCCCAAGTAGCTAGGATTATAGAGGTGAGCCACTGGTACCTGGGTCAAACAGGCATTTTTAAGTTTAATATAGTACAATTTATTCTTCTTTTTCTTTTTGGCTAGTTTTTCAAACATGTTTTAAGAAATCTCTGTGATTAAAAGGACTGAAAAAGCACTTAAGAGTTTATGAATTTTTCTCTTTTGTCTTACTTTAAAAGCTTTATTGTTTCATTTCTCTGTGTCTCATACTCTCTCAAAGAGTAATCAGTCTCATCCCTCTCAGTTAGGACACTTTGACCAAAACTATCAGCTGTGGCTAATCCACCTTTCTCTCCACAGGAAAGAACCCTGAGGCATGGGCTAAGGGTCTGAAGCAGGAGGATTTTCAGTTGCTGTGCCTTGATGGCACTAGGAAGCCTGTGACTGAAGCTCAGAACTGCCACCTGGCCATAGTGCCAAATCATGCTGTGGTCTCAAGGAAAGATAAGGCAGATTTTGTTCGCAGAATCCTCTTCAACCAACAGGTATGGGCACCCAGTGACCACTCCCTGTGACTAAGGGCTCAGTTCACTCATGGAACTGCCCAGTTTACACTTTGTACCTGAGCAGTGGGTCCTGGGCCTCCCACTCCTGCCTCTGATTACAGCTGATGTCTGTATCCACTTCTTGCCATGGGGCTGTCTAGGACATCCAAGTAGATTGAGAAAACCTCAGACATGTGGGCATCCAAACGTCTGCCTCAGAGAGCAGATTGATGGCACCTCTTGGGCTTATTCATTTCTCCACGAGAATTAACCCTTTCTTTCTTCTGCTCTTGCAAAAGTAAGAGAGTTGGCTCAGTGGCCTTCTACTAGGCTGAGCTCAATGTAGAAAAAACAGAATAGAGGTTACTCTACCTGACCCATGGGTGGCTCCAAATCCATTTACCCAACCTGGGCAGGCTGATCACTGTCCTAGGCTTCATGAAACTTAAAAAATCAGCATTCAGACACTTATGACCTCTATAGGAAGCCAACAGGGTCTGGTCTTATGGAGTAACAAGCTGCCTAAACTAAAGGATTTTAAGGAATACTCAAAATCTCTTCTGCATTTTGCACTAGCATGTCCTATCCTTGGAGATTCCCAAAGTGTGAGAAATCCGTGTCTTAGCATATACCAACCAACATCCCAGGTAAAGGAAGAGGTCCCAGGGAAAGCTGCCAGAATAAGTGGCTCTTGGTTGTGGATTTCTGAAAGGGCAAACCCCCATAGGACAAGCTGTCACCTTGACCGCAAGGGAAATGGAAAAAGAAGAGAGAAGAGGGGAAGGAAGAGATGGAAATGGTTGGGCATCTGGAGCAGATCCAGAGAACAGAAGAATTAAGGTAGCAAGGGCTCTAGGAAGCACAAAGAGAGGCAAGTTGACTCACAAAATTGAAAGCAGCTGGCACTGCTTGGCCAAATAGTGATATCGTGGCCAACTTGGACCTCCTTCCATCTACCAGTCAGTCTCTTCACATAACCATCTCACTATTTGGTGATAGGTCTGCATTTACAAATCAGTAAACTGAGGTCCACTGAACTCAGTAGAGAATTTTCCTGAGGTCACCTAACAAGGAAATGACAGGGCCAGGATTTGAACCCAGAGACCATGCTTTCTGCCTCTTTCTATGGTGCCTCTTGAACTGTTCACTGAGTCTTGAGTTTCCCAGGGGCTGGAGCTGAGCAGAACCTGTAGACTCAGGTCTTCTAAGGCAGAATACACAATCCCATGCTTCCTGGAGTCCATGGTCATTCACTGTCTGTCTGTCCAACCTAGGAACTTTTTGGAAGAAACGGGTTTGAATATATGATGTTCCAGCTGTTTGAGTCCTCACCCAAGGATCTGCTGTTCAGTGGTGACACAGAATGTTTGGCCAACCTTCAGAACAAAACAACTTATGAAAAATATTTAGGGCCAGAGCATCTTACAGTTATGGCTAACTTTAGACAATGCTTAACCTCTGGTGAGTAGAATGGAAGGCCAAGGAAAATAACATGGGAATCAAAGTCAACATGCTTGTATTAAGGACTGATGTGTGCCAAGCCCTGGGCTAGGAGTGTTAGGCACTCAAAGATGTGGTGGCTTTCTCTCTGCCCTGCAGGAGGGTTCAGAGTTTCTGATGAGCCAATGCACTCAGACAACAACAAAAGATATCTGAAAAAAAGGCTGAATTGTTTGAAGGAGACAAGGAGTCCAGTAGAACTTGAGATCACTGAGAATTGAACTTGTTTTCATGTGTATATCCATTTTTGCTAATAAATAATACTTCAGTGTAGGGAGAGGGCCTGGGAAATGGCACATTGGATATGCCGCCCATAGAGGACTGATTTTAAGTATAACATGTCATTTTAAGTATAATGTGTGAATAATATTAATAGAAACAAATAAAGGATAGTTAGCACTACAGTAGGCCCTTTTTGCTATCCATGTTTAATGGCATAGCTACCTCAAAACGAAATAAATTGGGGAAATAAGATTAGAACTAAGGCAATCAAATTGTTGGAAGTGTGCCTGAGTTTTTGTAGAATTATATTGTGTGCTGGAAATGATTAGAGTAGTAGAAAGAAAAGGCATGTATTTAAGATATTGGTTAGAGAAGATATTATGTCTGAGTGTCTTTGCATGTATTTTAAAACATCTTTTTTTGTGGGGGGGTGGTATGGGGGTTTGAACTCGGGGCCTGACACTTGTTAGGCAGGTGCATTACCACTTGAGTCACTCAACCAATCCTTTTTGCTTTAATTATTTTTCAAATAGGGTCTCATGTTTTTGCCCAGGCTGGCCTCAACTGTGATCCTCCTCTTTATTCTTCTCACATAGCTGGGATGACAGGCGTGAACCACCACATCCAGCATTTTTTTCCATTGGTCAAGATGGGGGTTTCTCGAACTTTTTGCTGGGGCTGGCCTTGAGCAGAGATTCTCTCATTCTCAGCCTCCTGAGTAGCAAGGATTACAAAAGTGAGCCACTGCGCCTGGCAGAACAGCTTTTATGAACTATAATTTACTTTTAGAAAATAGAAGCAAAACTGTGTTTAGTCAGCACTGGCAGCACTGGTGATCTTTCTCTTGTGTTATGCTTTGCAGAACTTCTGGAGGCCTGTGCATTCCACAGAAATTAAAATTGGATCAGGGTGGGCCACCACACAGATGCTGGGAGCCTCGACCATGGTGAGGCTGATTCTCATTTGTCTCCATGTGGATTTGTGCTAACACCAGTTATCTTTAAAATGTTATGCTACAATGACGCAAAAATTAAAATGAATAAAAACTATGTCTTCTTAGAAAGCTTCATTAAGTATTCTCAGTTTGGGGGGAGGCCTATTTATATTAAAATTGTACTTATAAATTTAACATTTATTAAATTGTACTTTCTAGAACTCAATTAACTTGATTTTCACTCACTATATTTTATTTTACCCAAAAGCCATTCAAATATAATTTTAACAACGAATCTGCCGAATGAAGTCTGAGTGGTAGTCACAAAGGTGCAAAAAGACATCTGTGTGCATAATATCAAGGACCTACATAATAACAAAAAGGGTAAGAAATGGTTTTGTATATTTTTTGACAGCACTGGGGTTTGAACTTAGGGCCTCATGCTAGCTAGGCAGGTACTTTTACTCCTTAAGCCACTCCACCAGCTATATTTTAATATTCAATACTGTCAGATAGAATCAAACTCTTGGTTCGGATTTATTGGACAATGTCTAAGCTACTGAGAAAATAGAATCTTCCTATCGATTTAGCCAACTTCCTGAAAGTGTGATGAGTGATACAATTACTTTTTTAAAATCGGCTTCTAGCCAGAGATTTTGTAATATCCAGTATTGCCCCAGCTCCAGCCTATGCAGTGCTTCAGTAAATGGTCAGTGGGAGCCGAGGTTATTTAAAAGTCAGGTTTATAAGAGGGTACTTCTGCTTCTGCCCATGAAAGATTAACCAGTACAGTTGTCTCCTTCCAGAGACAACTAAAAACCTGGACAAAATAAACAAAACAACTATTTATAACTGTTTATATTGAATAGCAGCAGTGCAGGAGGGATCCCTAAGAGAAGAGACACAAATGAGGTAACAGATGATGGTCCTACTTTCTGCCTGGTGGGAACGTCTAGATTTGACGCAGGGTGAGGAAACTGCAAGGGTTCCTAGCATTGTTACCAGCCAGCTGGCTGGGGGCCCTTTACCTGGATAGAAATTGTGGGTAGGCCAGAAGAAGCTGGCACTGCTGACCCCTTGAGTGCCCAAGGCCTGGGGGCTGGACGGGCAGACCCAAAAGCTTACACATTTCTCTAGGCTTTAGAAGTCAAAGACTTAAGGCTGTAGACGCTCAAGACTAGAGGATTATTGCTCTGGGCTTTAACTACCAGTACCCCCAGCACTTGGCAACTACCATAATCCTCAGCTTCCAACAGCAGCAGGCAGCAGCAGGCAGCAGCAGGCAGTGCCTTCTAGTGTTACAGCTCTCATATAGGCTTCGGATGCTGGTACCCTCAGACCTATTATGGCAAAAATTATAGTTTTCAGGTCCAAGGTCTCAGGATCCCCAGCCCTGATAACAGTTCTCTTATTCAAGGTGTCTGAGACTCTTGACACTTGAGGCTCGGCAGCTCTCTGGAACTCTTCCAGTGACCAGGGCCTGCAGTTTCTCATCTCTAACTCTTCACAGCTCTCATTGTCTCTGTTGCCTCTTCTCTCACCCCAAGCTCTGCCTTGGTTGCTCTCTGGAATGCTTCAGGTGCTCTGTCATCACTACTGCCATTGTCACTGTCACTGTGGCTGCTGTATCACTGCTGTCTCTTCATGTTATCAGTTCAGCCCACTCTACTAGTGATAAAGATAAACAGTAGGCAGGACAAGACTGGGGATGTGGCTCAAGCAGTAGAGTGCATGCCTAGTAAGAGAAAGGCCCTGTGTTCAAACCCCAGTACCACCAAAGATGGGGGAAAAAGAAGAAGAAAAGATAAAACAAGACCACTCAAGAGAAATCATTTATTGGATCTAATGTTACAACACCAGGGGGTAGTACAGGCAGGTATATACTCCCAAAGTGAGCGGACTATCCTGCTCATATAGCCAGAAAAGGAGTGTGGCAAGGGTGTGTACACCAATCACAGCAGACCATTATGCAAATGAAGGATTGTGTTTGCACCAATCACAGACTTTCTGCTTGGAAATGCTCCTCCTCTGGCCTGGGTGTAAATGGCTGCAGGATCATCTAAAGTTCACTGAGGCTTATGATGGCAAAAAAGTCTAGCTCAGGCTATTTAAAACAGTCATCTCTGGGACAGTGCCCTCAGGAGTCAGAGTGGTGCTGCAGCAGTAAGCAACTGTGGTTGTTGTATCGCTTCCTCATGGTATCTGTGGAGTGTTAAAAAGCAACCAGTTGTGGCATTGGGACAATCCAGCTGGCTGCTTGGCTGATAGCTATTGGTGAGGGAGTCAAATCATCCTGATCTCCAACATCTTAGCTTATTTAAAGAAAAATGAAAAGGGCTACTTACAATAAAGGATCATCATTAACATTACAGTGTTTTAACAGTATTTAACAGTGCTGTAACAATGCTTAACTCCTGCCCCAGTGCCCCAGGGAGAGGTGAATCACTTGAATCTGTCTCATCAGTGAGTTGAGAAAACAGACATAGAAACTTGAGATCTGTCTGGCAGTATCCTTGTGTATTTTTTAAAAACTAATTTGCATGTGAATAGAATGAAATTGAAATCCATGAAGCCGGGCAAAAAATAACTGTGAGAGACTTAAAAGCCCAATGTTTCCCAGAGTTCACAAAGCCAGGAACCATTCAAGTTTCTACCAACCAAACTGAAGAGACCTCACTAAACACAAAGATCTTCACTGAAGGGCGTGACCTTGGAGGTTGGGCTAAAAGGACCTCAGATTAAAAATTACTCTAGAATAACCCTTATTGAGGCTAAAACTAGCCTCAGAGGATCCAGCTGATCTGCAAGTCACTTAACTGCCTTCCAACACCAACTCCAGCACCATGAAATGATGACAGCAAAGTCTACACAATCAACAATGCCGCATATACAACGTGCAGTATTAAGTGAAAACATTACCAGATATGCAAACAAGCAGCAAAATTATGACCCAGAGTCAGGAGCAAAATCAGCCAAAAGAAACATATCTAGAACCCACAAAGATGATGCTATTCAGACAATGAATTTTAAACAGTTGCTATAAACATGAATTTAAAGGAACTCATGAACATAACAAAAAGGCATAAGGTTAAAAAAAGAAGTAACGAAAATACAGAGTTGTAAAATTTGTGTCTTTTCAAGAACCTTTTTTTTTAATTCATTTATTCACATGTGCATACATTGTTTGGGCCATCCCCCCCCCCCCCCCGTTCCCCGCCCCCACCCTCTCCCCCCTCCCCCCCTCGCTTCCAGGCAGAACCTGTTCTGCCCTTATCTCTAATTTCATTGAAGATAAGACATAAGCATAATAATTAAGACAAGGCATTTTTGCCAGTTGAGACAAGGATAGCTATACAGAGAGATTCCTAGCATTGCTTCCATGTACAAATGTGTTACAGCCCGAATTGCTTCATCTCTAATTGATCTTTACACTGGTTCCTGATCCACTTCTCGTGTTAACTCTGTCACTTTAAGGTTTCTGTATTAGTTCCTCTGGAGTGGGGACATCAAACACTTTCATGTTTTGGGTTTTTCTACCTATCCCATACCTCCCTTATGTGCTCTTCCCTTGTAATGTGACCCAAGTCCAACAACATTGCTGTATTTGCCCTAGATCTAAAGTCCACATATGAGGGAGAACATACGATTTTTGGTCTTCTGAGCCTGGCTAACCTCGCTCAGAATGATGTTCTCTAGTTCTATCCATTTACTTGCAAATGATAAGATTTCATTCCATTGTGTGTAAATACCACATTTTCTTAATCCATTCATCAGTAGTGGGGCATCTTGGCTCTTTCCATAGCTTCACTATTGTGAATAGCACTGCAATAAACATGGGTGTGCAAGTGCCTTTGTAGTAACCTCTGTTGCATTCCTTTGGGTATATCCCCAGGAGTGGGATTGCTGGATCATATGGAAGATCTATGTTTAGACTTTTTAAGAAGCCTCCATATTTTTGTTCAAAGAGGTTGCACTAGCTTGCATTCCCACCAGCAGTGTAAGAGGGTTCCTTTTTCCCCATATTCTTGCCAACACCTCTTGTTGGTGGTGTTTTTGATGATGGCTATTCTAACAGGGGTGAGGTGGAATCTTAGTGTGATTTTGATTTGCATTTCTCTTATGGCTAGAGATGGTGAGCATTTTTTCATATGTTTTTTGGCCATTTGAATTTCTTCTTTTGAGAAAGTTCTATTTAGTTCTGTTGCCCATTTCCTTATTGGTTCATTGAATTTGGGAGAGTTTAGTTTCTTAAGTTCCCTGTATATTCTGGTTATCAGTCCCTTGTCTGATGTATAGCTGGCAAATATTTTCTCCCACTCTGTGAGTGGTCTCTTCAGTTTAGAGACTGTTTGGCGGTGGGCAGCCACTGCAAGGTGATCAGGGACTTTCCACTTCACCCTCCTCTCTCCTCCTCCACCTATGGTTGCCACGGCAACTCCCACCATTGGAAAATAGGTCCCAACCTATCCTATAGGTCCACATTACCCTGAGCCCCCTCCCCTCACTAGGCTTCAACCTATCCCAACACTCCATGGTACCCGAAGCTCCTGACTTCACCCAAGTTATAAAAACTGGGCTGCCATCTCTCGGGCGCGACTTCTCCAGCCCTGTTCTTTGGGGACAGTGAACCTTGCCCGAGAGCATGCTCTCAATAAAGCCTGCTTGTTTTATCAATTTCACTCCAATTTGGCCTTTTCATCTGTGTCAACCTAACATTTGGTGCCGAAACCCAGGAGGAAGTGCGCCTTACCCGACTTCAGGCAGTTGGGGCCCTAGGCCAGGCCCTGGCTTGAGGCCCTTCCTCCTCTCCAGATTGATGCTCCAGCTCCAGCTTGGGTGAGTCCCTTTCCCCTGTTTTGTTCCTCCTCGGGCCCCTGTCCTAGTCGCAGCCACACCAGGATCAGCCCCTCTGTTTCTCCTCGTACCTGGGCACCCGGAGAGATGTCTCCCCTGTCCAGGCTGCCTCCTCCGAACCAGGTCTCCTCCTTTAGCGAGGGACACCTCCTAAAAGTTGAGACTCTCTAACAATTTGGGGATGGGGTCCTCCCAATCCAAGCCAGGAGACTCAGGGACTCCCTTGTCCTGTCTCCTCTCAAATTTCCAAAATTTGGGACTCTCTCCAGACCTCTACCACAAGCGGCTCATTTTCTACTGCACCATGGCATGGCCACAATACACCTTAGACAACAACTAAAAATGGCCTCCACAGGGCACTTTTGATTTTAATATTCTCACTGATCTTGATAACTTTTGCCATCGAACCCATAGATGGTCTGAGGTCCCATATGTGCAGGCCTTTTGGGAACTGTGCTCTTGTCCCTCTCTTTGCCTCCAATATTCCCCTTCCCAGATCCTTCTCGCTCAAACACCCAACTCCTCTGGAT